CTTTTTCCCTTTAAGACCACCCTTCTTCTTTAGAGTATATTTTGGCCAAGGCAGGGGAGGGGAAATGTCTAGAGCCCAACAAATTTCTCACTAGCCCAACTTTCTCGCCAGCTTATTTCCATTTTATAGTCATAGGAAACTTAGAGTTCTACTACACATTCATCATCTCTTGAGGCCTAAGGCCCAGAACACTGTATAGCAGTTATCACAGAAGGAGCACTTAAGGAATGTATTTATCAGGTTAGGAGTAAGAGTTAATCCAGTAAGTTTCCCTGCCAGGCATTTCTCAACATGCACTTCTGAGTAGTATTCTTCCATGCACAACAGGAGCAGGATGGGCAAGAATGAAACTCAAATGTGTTGAATAGGCTAGTCTGTTACATCCCACAGAAACTTCAAGAAATCACCCCCACCAGACTACTTAAGGTCAAGTAATAGGCCATCTTCAACAAATTATTTGAATAAATGGTAATTAGCACACACTTCTTCAACAGATTTATTTCTTTAAAGGAATGGATTTTGAAGAGAAAAAACATGGGGCAGAGAGGTGTGGAATAGAAAATACAGATGTAAGCTGTTTCGCTAATTGCTTTATAACAACAAACTAGTACAGAGAATGCCCTGTACAAAACACAATAAAGGTTCAAAGATGGAGGTGTTCCCTTAGGAACACCAAGGCTGAAGACTGCAGTCCCCGGTATTTGGAATTTAGGCTGCAGTCCTTGTTTTTGGATGGATCACTGGGTATGTGGCACAGTCCATGCTTTTAACCAGATTTGAACAGGAGAATGACCACTTGGCCCAGGTAGTAGATGAAGTGTTTGCTTTCACGTGTCACATAACTACCGAAGTTCCTCCCCACGATGCAGTGCCAGGTGGGGCTGTACTTCTTGTCAGACTCCTTGATATGGGCCACAATGTCCTCCTCTATATTACCTTTCTCCAAGGCCTGAGTAGCACAGTCCACCGAGTCCTGTTGCATCTCCGACATATCGGCATCCTTGATCACAGCCTTTCAGTCACACATGGTTACCACGGAGTGGGGGCTGGCCGGCTGCAATGGTCCCCTGGGGGAGGCACTGGCGAGATTCACACTTGCCTAGAGAGGTGGTCACAACCGAAGCCTTGGCGCATTTCTCATTTCATAGAGAAACTGCAGTAAGAACTTAAATGTAACTGTTTTTTGGTTTTGATGTGTTAGGCAATATCTTAGACCCAGAATTTCTGTGAGCTTTTGTTTTCCCATTTGCAAAAGTGAGAATAATAGCAGCTACCTCTTAAGATTATTCTGAAGTTAAATAAGATCATATACAGAAAATGCCTAGAACTTTAGTAGAAACTAAGTAAATGTAATTCCCTTTCTGGTTTCTTATAAAATTGCCCACTGAATGGTTGAGGAGATTAGGGATGGTTTCATGGAAAATCTAGTGTTACAACAGGTTCTTTAAATTCAAAGATTGGTAGGAGGGGGCAATGAAGAGATGAGAGAACCATGTTCAACTCTCACCTCCCCCCCCCTTTTTTTAAAAATATGTTATACTGTGCAGCATGTGGGATCTAAGTTCCCCACCAGGAATTGAACCCATGCTCCCTGCATTGGGAAGACAAGAGTCTTAACCACTGGACCACCAGGGAAGTCCCAGAGAGAACCGTGTTCAAAGTAATGTTTAAGGCAAATTAATATTAGACACATGTTAAAAGAGTTAATGACTAGCTGGATTCAGGAATGGCCAAGTTGATGATGTCTCGGGGACGTCACCAGCTTCTCTGCTGGCTTAGACGGTAAAGTGTCTGCCTGCAATGTGAGAGATGCAGGTTCAATCCCTGGGTCAGGAAGATCCCCTGGAGAAGGAAATGGCAACCCACTCCAGTACTCTTGCCTGGAAAATTCCATGGACAGAGGAGCCTTGTAAGCTACAGTCCATGGGGTCACAAAGAGTCGAACACAACTGAGCAACTTCACTTCACTTCAGGGACCACAAACTTGATGGAAGATTGGGAATCTGATGGTGCTATAGAATGATAAGATACATGAAGAGGAGACAAAGAAAGATTTGTCTAGGGTTCTTTGGAGATACGACTTAGAAAATAGAGGACATGAGGTAACATTTAACTAGATATTTAAGTATTTTATATTTTAGTAAGATACTAAGATTTTAAGTAAAGAGAGGAAGACAAAAACTAAAATTTTGGTCAGATTAAAATAAAAACCCAGGAAGGAGAAATTGGCTTCATCAAAGAAGATTCATTTATTAAATCCATGGCATTGGATATATTTCCTATGGAAGAGAAGGGTGGAGGACCAATTATTAAATGCGATGAAAGAACTTGGTTAAGGAGAGAGAGGAGGGAGCCGAATGAGGAAGGAAAAAAAAAACCGAAAGAGAGTGCAGAAAGGTGAGATGGGATCCCCAGAATGAGAGTCCTAGAAGCCAAGGTGTGAAAGTGAGGAGTGATGTCAGATGTAGCAAAGATCAAAGAGAACCCAAACCAGACAAAGGATGGCACGGATGGAGTCTCCAGTCGGTGCTACCAGGAGCCTCTCCTCTTTCCCTGCTTCCCACGCCTTCCTCTCTCCAAGTCTTCTTCCTCATTATTAATGTGGAGAGCAGAACCAGAAAGGTAGAAGGCCAGCCTCTGACCTTCTCTAAATGTCCTTCTATTTGGTTTACAAAAGACCTTGAACTCTGCGACCTCAAGCAGAGTCCCTTAATCTCTGTAGCTCCCAATACCTTTTATCCTACATTGAAATCATACCAGTTTTCTTCCCCGCTTTTGGAAAGGGCTGAGGTAGGGATGCAGTCTAAAAGCATTTTCAGCTAAAACTTGTGCAAAGGAGAGAGTTCTGATAAATAAATATCAAGCGTGTCAATAACGTAGGCAGATAAATGGTTGCTAAATGGTGGTCTTTAAATCACTCAACTTTTTTCTGGTTTGCAGATTTTTTTTTTTTTTTAAACGTTGTAAGCTTTGTGACCTCCTGTTAAGGTTGCTGCAAATACTCAAAATCCTCACAGGGAATTGAAGGTGTTTATGCCGCCTTATGCCTCTTGGATGTAATTGTCATTTAAACCTTAAATTATCTTTACTTTTATGCCTAGTTAGTAATCATTTGGTTACATGATTACACAGAGTGAAATTAACTGAGGGAGAGTGGTGGCCCAAACTATTTGTTTCTTCTAGATAAGTATCTTTCAGCTTGTTCAAATGCATAAAATAGAAACCTGCAACATTGAAAATGTTTTAAAGTACTGCACAGATACTTCCCTTTCCTAAAACCTTTAAGTCTTTTTAGTGCTCAGCAGCAATCACAAGAAAATAATATTAGAGAAAATGTGAAATTTTTCAAGTAAATATATAGAAAATTAAAGTTTGGGGATTTGCTGTGTATAAATGTGGAAATAGTCTCAGATACCTGAAGTATGTTAGATGCATTTCCCATAGACCCAGTAATTTTTAAGAATTATTTTTCGAAGGTCTTCTCTGTTTTTTGAAGACAAATATAGATAGCAGTGCTTTGCATTGTAGTCTGGTCACTGTGAAAGGATATAGGGTAGGTCATATGTTTAAACTCTCTTGCCCCTTTGTTTTCTTTAAACTTATTTTTAATTATTTATTTTTCTGTACCAGGTCTTAGTTGAGACATGCAGGATCTAGTTCCCTGACCAGGGTTTGAACCAGGGCCTCCTGCTTTGGGAGCTCAAGAGTCTTCACCACTGGTCCATCAGGGAAGTCCCCCCTTTGTTTTCCATAACAGTGCACTCAGTTTTAACATTCTGAATTGTTTCCCTTTTTTCCCCAACTTCTGTTGTACATGAAGGAATTTGAAGACATTTTTCATACAAACCCTCATAGATTAATGCTTGATTCCTGGTTCATTGTTTTTTGTTTTTTTATTGCCTATTTCTTTCACACACATGCCCACACATACATGAGTGAGTACACTGTGTAACTATTATTATAGCATTAAAAGAGGTCTTTAAAATATATTTATAAACAATCATCAAAATTTTAGATAAAAAGACCTGTTTTAAATATTAGATTTAAAATACTTTTAAATATCCCATCAAGTGTGTTAAAGATACATATTCCAGCACACCCTTCTGTGATGATATAGAGCCACACAGAATCACCTGCAAAAGCAAAATGAATAGAGTGATTCAGGGAGCTTTCTTGCCTCAATTCATTCATAAAGGCTATCTGCATTATAGTCCTTTCCCTGAACAAATCTGCAGCCTTGCCTTTGGCTTTGTATTTGACCACAGACATAGTACTACTATGGGGCTTCTTCCCTTTTAGCTCAGTCAGTAAAGAATCTGCCTGCAGTGCAGGAGACCTGAGTTCGATTCCTGGGTTGGGGAGATCCCCTGGAGAAGGAAATGGCAACCCCCTTCAGTATCCTTGCCTGGAAAATCTCATGGATAGAGGAGCCTGGTGGGCTATAGTCCATGCGGTCACAAAGAGTCGGGCACAACTGAGCAACTCACACACACACACACACACACACACACACAGTGTTACTAGTGTTACTAGTGTTGCTTTTTGTAGAGAAGCTATTTTTCCTAAAGAGCCTGGTGGGCTATAGTCCATGCGGTCACAAAGAGTCGGGCACAACTGAGCGACTCACACACACACACACACACACACACACACACACACACACACACACAGTGTTACTAGTGTTACTAGTGTTGCTTTTGTAGAGAAGCTATTTTTCCTAAAGCTCACATTCCATTTCCTTGGTCCCAAGATCACCAGGTAAGTGCCTGATTTCTCAAAGCTGAGTATCAAACTATAATCCAGAGAGCCAAATGAGAGGTCTAGCCATTCCTCCTTTTTAGTTTAGCTTGAGTTTCGAATTCTCATTTCCTGTCCCCTAGTAAAGAACGTTTTATGCTTTAAAGTTTGCCGAGGTTTGAGAAGTGTGTGTGTTCTCTGGACTTAGATATTAATAAAGATTCCTCAATTATAACCTCTTTCCTTTTTTTTTCTTTTTTTAGTTATGGGAAGATCGTTTCCACAAAGGCAATTTTGGATAAGACAACAAACAAATGCAAAGGTATGTTTCCTTGTCTGATGATTTACTACATCAGAGCTTTAGAAAAAAGTGGAATTTTCAACCTGATCTTTCATTTCAAAACTACCTCCATTTATTAAAACCCAAATCTTATATGTCAACCAGTTTCTGTCTTGCACAGTGTCGGCATATTGCTTATGTTGGTCCCTGGTTGAGTTTTGGCTAGAAACCCAGCAGCAGCTAGCTGCTTGCCAGAATCCTAGATTTGACACCAGTAGAGTTAACATGCAAAATAGTGGCTGGCATTTATCCCCTGCTTTTTAAGGGGGAGTAGAGTTAGAAAATAGCTTTTCTTTCCTGAGCCTGAGAAGATTAGAGCTGCTTACCGAAGACCATTGGACTGTACTAAAGAACTGAAAAGATTACATATTGTGCAAATTGGCTCTATTAATTAGAATAGAGTAGTTTTAAGCAGTACTTAATTACATGTTTCAATAGTCCCAATTGTTCTCTGCTGAATGCCTGTTGACAATATTGGCAGCAGGGAGGGGAGAACCATTTTCACTGACCAAATTGTAATAGGGAGGGGAGGTCATACGCCCCTTTGAAATATGCTGCTGCATTAATTTGATGCACTGACCTTCAGTTTTCCATGTAATTAGGATGAGCTCATCCAGCTCCATGAGCTGGAAGAGGAGGCGTCTACAGTAGGCAGCACTGATGCTCTGTGGCTCTGACTTTTAATGATCCAGCATCTTAACAATAGGCATGTGATTTCTAGGAAGAGGGAAGAATGGAATCAGCTGACTTTGAGTCTAACAACTGACCCCATGAATTGAAATAAGGTTGACAGGAATAGGCAGAGAAGGCAAATCTCCTCATTAATTAAACCCGTTCTCCAAGTAGGGGTGACGGTTGTGACTTAGCACAATCTGAACAAGGCAAAGAACGTCAGTGAAGCCTATGGAACGGTAGGGCCTCGCCTTAGAAGCCAGCCGTTTCCTTTAATCTAGACTTGAAGTGATTCATTGTACTTCTGTCTCTTCTTCAAAGCTCCTGAATTTAAAGGCACTATTGTGGCAAATATCTGAGCCCATGTTTAATCAGCATGGCACTTTCAGGCAGTTTTGCCATAGGACACTGAATAAGAACAGTGCTTTATGTAAAGTGATACTCAATTAATATTTTAAGTGAATTAAACTGGAGAGAGTCTAATTGTAGATTGAAATGTTTACCCAGTTACCAGGTTAGTCTTGTTTGACATATTTTAAAAATGATTTGGATGAGCCAGGGACACAGGAAAAAGCTTTTTGGTTTTATCACCAAGAGATGGACTCATGCAGGTATAAACCAGGAAGCTGATCTCAGCATTTGTTTCAAACCAAGAGAGAAATCACAGTAGATGATAGTTTTACAGCCTTACCTACCTTTCTTCCTTCTGACCCCACCCAATTCCCTCTCCCTCAAAAAAGAAGTCTTCACACAGGTCAGTGTTAAAAAGCAGAGCTGCCCTAGTTAAGTGAGAGAGAGGACCCAGTGGCCTCCCTGAGCGAATTCTCTGCTACACATCTGCGCTGGACACTGCTGTTTTACACTCTTCTCCAACGAGACCCAGTTGCCAAGAAACCAAAAGTCCACAAGATGCTTAGCGTGATCTAGAAATGCTGTGAGTGGGAAAAAAAAATACTAAACCTAACGTCTTATAATAATATAAACCCATGATATTTGACAAGAGTCCAAAGATTAGTGGGGAGATTTGTGGGGCTTCTAAGTAAGTATAAATCAGAGCTAGTTTTCGATACATGTCTCCTGGAGAATTTCTCCTAAATTGAGTCGTAGGAGAGACTGGCTTGTATGTGGGGGCAGTGACAGAAACTTTATAAGGTTTTTTGTGTCACACAGGCCTCTCAGAAAGGCGCAACGATAGATATCTGGGGTGTGGATGAGTGAGTGAGGAGAGAGAGTAAGCAGGAATGGATTTATAAAATTCTGGAAGGGGCAATGAAAGAGCTCCTGAAAAAAAGTAATTTGGGGATGAGCGAGGATAAAAGAAAACAGCATAGCTCACTATAAAGACAGGTAACATGTTAGTAGCCATGTTATAGATAACTTGAGAAGGTGGGTGGGTGGGGGGGTGGATGAAATAGGTAATGCTTAAGAAATTATTAGTATAAATGAAAAGTGCTTGTATTGTACACTAATTTTTAGGGATTGAACCGATCAAAGCATTTCCTACCTGAAAATTAGAGACCTTAGAGGTCATAGTACATTTTTAGGTCACAAAACATATTTTGGGGCCTTTCTCCAGAAGACAAAACTAAGCGGAAGGAAATATTGCTGTGAATAACATGTTGCTGTAGTTATTAAATTTAAAAATTCATTATTCAGTTGCTCTCCTACATTTCAAACTTTTGCCAGTTTTTAGCCAACAAAAGGTGTTTAAATGCTTCTCAGCTCTGGTGTACATGGCAGTTCAGGACCGAGAAAAACTTACAAAGGATCGATTGTGCTCAGTATTTACAGAGTTGCATATAAGACCGGAAAACACAAACACACACAAAATGGGTGAGGATAAATCAGACCAAAGGAAAAACAGGGGTAAGAGCAGGAAGCTTCCTGTTACTACAGAAATGGCCCTGTATTTCCTGGTTGCCAAACCAAAAATAACATACCTATTCCCATGATTCGGTAATCTCAGTGTAGAAGAAAACCCACGAAGCAGAAATGCCGTAACTGTGCCTGGTCCCGAGACCTGGAAGAATCCTCCTGAGGTTCCAGTGAGAGGATGCTGTGTTATTTGGTGACTCCCACCTTCAAAAAATATCTGTATACATGTTTAAATAATGAAACCCCAGAGAATCTGTGAGACTGATTTATATGCTCTTATATTTACTTGAAAGTATTATAACAAGGAAAGTGAAAGAGCACGTGGATGCATGCATAAGCATGTTATATTTGTTTTAAGCAAATATTTATGAAACAGCTACGTAGTAGCATTGGGCAAGGCCAGAAAAGAATGTAAACAATTAGCTAAAATGCAGCCATTATGGATTTTTTCCTAATAAGGAAATAACAGATAAAATAATACTAACAGTACTTGAGTAGAAACTTCAACTACATTAACATCAAACTTGGGATCTTCATCTTACTGTAATTTATTGACAACAGTAAAATTAAAGAAGGACTCTTAAACATCCATTAGAAGTTACATCATTTCAATGTAGTTGGGTGTTCGTTTATGACCTGCTTAAGTTCTGCTTGGTAATAAAATATGTTTGAGCGTGAGAGAGTGAGTATGTGTGTGCCTACATGCATCTTCAGAGTGGGTTGCATATTAGTGTTAATAACAGATTTCTTTAAAAAATATGAAATATATTTAACATAATTTCTAACCTGGCTGTTGAGGAGCATTCTCTGTTTTTACCTGGGTCAGCCTCCTCTTTTCCTTTCCCACCTGGGTATTTCTCTGCTCACTGTCAAAATCAAATTAAGCCTTATTCCATCACAATTCCAAGTAATAGAAAGAAGCTGTTATTTGTTTTAGCTTTGACACTCATCTCTCTAAAACACCTATTTCTATAATTCATAGTCTAGTTCACTAATTTTTTACCAGGCCAATATTTTTGTTACTAATACTGCACACTCTTTGAACTACTTCTGAAATTTCTGTTTTGTCGTGTTGATGTGTATATTTTGACCCTAGTTCCTTCCTGTCTAAATTACTGTAGCTTTATAATATCCATAAATAAATGATAGGCCTGGCCCCTCTTCTGTGTAACTTCCAGACAAGACTTTCCTTTTTCAAAATATTCTTACTCATTTAACATTAATTTGATAATAGGTTTGAGTCCCAAGTAGATCTCTGTTGATATTTTTGCCTGGAACCCTGATCATTTCACCAATGTGCTTTTAAATACAGTTGAACCTTTTCTTAATAATTTAAGACTTACCACAGTGGCAAATTAGTGATTACCTGATTTAATACAGTGATGCTTACAGGATTGGTGAGGTTCATGGAACTGTTGCTCACGTGCTCTGTAACACCTGCTCTTTATATCGTTTTCCTCTTTTATTGGTTGCTGTTAGTTTTCGCTAGGTACCATCCATATGATTTTGTAGCAGCCCTACCCTCAACCTGGCCCCTCTTTCCTCTAATTTCCTGCTTTTGATTTGTTATAGCCAGGGAAAATAGCTGACCAGCTTGTTTAAAATGTTTGAAAAACTATGGATAAATAAACTTTGAACCAGGGCCTCTCTTAGGAGGTTGTTTATTTGTTTGTTTTATTATGTTTTGTTTTTAGTCTTTAGGCCAGGAACATTAAAACAGCTATTTTGGGTTCCTGGAACCATTTCCCTACCGCCCTTTATTTATTTTGAAGAGATTGTGAGCTGTATTTTAGATAAATAGGTAATATTTTTAAATAAGTTCTAATATGTAGATTATTTTATATGTCGAGTATCCAATGGTTGTACTTAATTTATTTTTAAAATGTACGGAATAAACAAATATTTGTAAGCTCTGTAGGATAGCTCCATCTTTCTTACCAGATTTTTTAAAATGCTACTTTTTTCCTGAAGTTGATTTCCCCCCCTCTGCCTTTTTTTAAAATCTTGATTGGTAACTTGGATGTCTTCCTCCCCAATCCCCCACCTCACCCCAGCAAGTACAAGACACTTGAGAAAAAGATCTGGAAAGGGAAATAAACTGGTTTCTCTTTATTTCCTTTTTTTAGAAAACTTTGAAGGGAAACTTACCTAGCTCAGATAGGCGGGACGGACAGTCTGAGAAGGATGCTGCAGTACAATTGTAAAGCTGGGGACTGTCAGAACGTCGGGGTTTTCATTTCTGTTGTCCGCCTCGGAGACCAAATGGAGTTATCCTTTCCCTCTTTACACAATCGTAAAATAACGGCTTAAACACTATGTTTTGCATTTCAGGTTATGGTTTTGTTGACTTTGACAGTCCTGCAGCAGCTCAGAAGGCTGTGTCCGCCCTGAAGGCAAGTGGGGTTCAAGCTCAGATGGCAAAGGTGAGTTGAGAGCTGGCACTCCTTCCTCCCGTCTCTGGCTTTGCTTCTGAATCTGGGCGCGTGGCTTGTCCTGTCACCATGCAAGTTCTCCTTCCATCCCAGCGAGTCACAGTTAACTGGGGACTTTTGCCCCTTGCCTTCACATCCTCAGTAGTAGCTATTTTGCCAAAGACAGTTCCTCATAATTTTATGAGTGAAAAAGAATTTTACAACTGTATAAAATTTTTCATAGCAGATTATGTAAGCCCATAAGTAAATGGAGAAATAGTATCAAATTTTCTCAGGTAATTGGGTACTTGTGGACTAAAGCTCTGTACTTTATGTTTAAAAATAATTTTAAAATTTCAATGTTTAAGGAATTAATACATTTTAGAAATACTTCAGAATGTTATGTTCTGAAAAAATAATATACTTTATCACGTATGTAGGCTTGCACAGATATACTAGTAGTTTTAATGCAGTGTCAGCTACAGATAATATTTCCTCTATATAAAAGAGACATTTTTAGACATTGATTATTAATGAAATTAATAATCCTACAGTTTCAATGAACTCTTATCATAGAAGTGGTGTTTGTGCTCCAGGTTTTATTGCCTGAATGTAAACTTGGGTTTTATCATACCTAGTGCACTTAGTCTTTCCAAAAGATCAATAATTTTATATTATCCAGTTTCTTGAAGTACAAAGTAATTTTGTGCTGTCCTCTGCTTCTTCTGAAGAGTAGCTTGTGATCTTTCCCTGAGGAGCACTCGCATTTCCATAAGGGAAGGAGATTTATGAAAGTTAAGGAACCCTGGTTGAAATAAGTTACCTGCTAAGCCCTTAAAGCTGTTGAAGGACAAATATGCAGCTACCAGAATAGAGATTTCCCTTGACTAAAAGAATCAGCATGAATAAAGATTTCAGAAGTTGATGAAAGGGGCTTCCCTGGTGGCTCAGATGGTAAAGAATCTGCCAGCAATGTGGGACTCCCAGGTTCAGTCCTTGGGTCAGGAAGATCCCCTGGAGAAGGGAATGGCTACCCACTCCAGTGTTCTTGGCTGGGGAATCCTGTGGACGGAGGAGCCTGGTGGGCCACAGTCCCATGGACGGAGGAGCCTGGTGGGCCACAGTCCCCGGGGTCGCAAAGAGCTGGACGCAGCTGAGTGACTAACACTTGCACTTTCATCACCTTTCTAAAGTTATCCTTGACTTTTAATATTTTTAGACCTCTGGGGTAAGATAAAGTCCAAAGTAAGAAGCTAAAATAAACTGTAAATACTAAGGACACATCCTCTCTAGAGTGAGGGCACCCTGATTTTTAGATTATTTGTCCATAACATAGAGCACCTTCTTGTGGTACTGTTGAAAGATAGTGATTATGAGGCTTTAGTGTGTTTAACTGTGAATATGCAATACTTGTGTTGTGTATGGTTTACAGAATGTTTAATATGTCTCTGTAAACCGTGGGTAACCATATGTTTTCTAAGCAGGACTTTGAAGGCACGATGAGAAAAGAACTGCATTTTTCCCTCTGTTCTGTCCATTTCCTCTACTCTGAAGCTCCTGTTTCTTCCTCTCATGGATAAAATCTAGGGCAGATCCCATGACTTTTCTGGCAACTCTCATTATTTTGAAAAGTCCCTTCAGTTGCTTGTTTCATTTCAGGCCTTTCTGGTTAATTTTTTTCTTTAGAGTGCCCCTTGATTTTTTTCATGTCCCAACTTCAGGGAATATAATTGTCTTTAAACACATTTTCAGCCATTCCTTTATGTAGTTACACCAACCTCGATACAATATTTTAAACAAGATGTTTAAGGGGGAAGTCTCAAGTTATATTCCAAATATGGTTAATAAAATCTCAGAATTGTGTAAGGGTTTTGAAAACTCAGTTCTGAGAGTCAGCAAAAGGGATGTGCGTCTTGGATGTTGCTTGTGCTGAGAGAAATCACAGCTTACAAAGCAGTTGTCTGCTAAAAACCACACATTGATAATTTGGTGACCAAGAGGTGATATTTTATCAGTTTACAACCCAATAAGAGAATCTTTTACATGTTTCCAAACACATAGATACACACACACAGATTTGTAAGATGTGTATTTAGTGACATTTTAGGAAATTGGAGGTTGTGATTAATGATAATGCATTATGCTTTTTTTCTTATTTGAAATAATGTGAAATATTAATACATCCCAATACAACCATCTATTACTATGTGTCTACAAACACACACACACAGATGTGTAACACATGGTTAACATTTTGATGCTGAATGTCTGATTTTTCAAACACATTTCCAATGCTAAGTGTGTGATGCCTGTAATTGAGATGTCCAGTCCTGTTTATTTGACAGAATTTTGTGTGCCATATAATACTAAAACTTCTGCCTTCCCCCTGACTCTGGTCTGCTCTTACTAGTAAGCTTGTCCTGGGATGGGAACATGGTTTGTTCTTTCCTATTTTCCAAATGTATGTTTTTTCCCACTCTTCCAGAGCTAGCTGTGGTTTTTTACCCGTCCCAGGTTGGAGCAGTGGTAAAGGATGGGAAAGCTTCTTGACCTGACAATTATGTGATGTGTTGATTTCTCTGGGCAGAGAGAAAGCTGATGCTTTCCCTAGTAGAATGCCCTGCTCTCTCCCCGGTGGTTCCTTCACCCTAGAGAAGACGTGTCCTCAGCTCCTGAGAATCTAAGGGTCAGCCTTCAGTCCTTTTCTTCTTGGACCTTCTTGTTCTTCAGTACAGCCTTCCTGGGTGGATCTAACACAACCCTGCGCCAACTCCGTCTTGTGTGGCCCACATTGATCTGTCTGCCAGCTGTCTGTGGGAAACTAGTTACCTCCCAATCACACTTATAGGCCTTTTAGATTCCTCAGGCTTAAGTCAGACATTGATCCATTGTATCCACCAAACTCCAGAGGACGCAGACCAGGCTTCATGAGGGGTCTCTTGAAGCCCCTCGTGCTTGGCTGGTGGTGGGCGGGGGAGGGAGGGTGCAGGAAGAAGCCCAGTTGGTGGGAGGGTGGAGCACATCATAGAACACATCAGTGGTTCTCCCTACCTGTGTGTTCATTCCCAGCCTCCGCAGTCCCTCCCAGGCAGACAGGAGGTGGGTGGTGAGTTGAGCATCCAAAACCAGTCTTCAGCCAGTTCAGTTCCCATGCAGACTCTGTTTAGGAGGCCTGCTTTCTCGCTCTGGCATGCGGGTGTGCCTGACACCCATTTTTTGTGTTTGGGTTTTTTTGGTGACTTCTGCTGAAACAAAGTTAGAAAGAGACCTATTTTAACAATCCACTAGGGCTAACGCCGAGGCCTGATTTAGAGAGGCCTCATCAGCACGAATCTAGGCATCTTTTCGGTACCAGTGATGTCGAGTAGCATAGTATATTAACTATATGCTGTTTGAAGAAGTCTTTACAATGCATTTAGGCAGAACCTGAGTGGGTATGGATTGGCACTGTATGTCTCGTGTCAACAGTGCGCTTTGAACGCCAGCTTTCCCGTGGACTGGTAATGAGCACTGTTCAAAGACCTCCTCAGGCAGCTTGGGACTGTAAATTGGCTAGGAAAAATGATCGCTTCCTCCATCATCTGCGGGGAATGGACAGTGCAGGGGATCCGAGGCACTGGCAGTGTGCCAACATCCTGCGCATCGTGAATTTCTTCAGGTCTCTACAGAATGACTGAGTTTCCTGATTTCTTTTTTATTATACCATTAAAGTTACAAAAGGTATTTTAAATGGTAGAGGGTCCATTGTTCTATGCCATAGAACCATGGATGTGAGTATGGGGAGTTAACTTAGCCCCTTTATGCCATCTGGATACGGGATTATCTGACTTGTACCTTTTTGTGGAGACAATTTGTAAAAGTTTAAGCCTGGCTCCTCTGTTTGGGTGATAAGAGACCTGTCACTGTCACTTCCTTTAATTAATCTGGATACTATAAGTTTTTGAAAATTCACATTGCCACATATTAAAGGCTTGCCCTTTTACACAATCAGAAAAATTCAGGGACATTCTAGTGGGTGAGGGGAAATGTAATATTGTTTGACATTTTGGCTACCTGAGTTGAAAAAGGACTCCACAAATATTTAAAACTGAATTATAAAACTACAAATGGAGAGCCTTGGACAACAGTGATTGTTTCTTGTATTTTAATTTCAGTGCCTTGCTTGGTACTTGGCATATGGTAGATGTTAAATGTTTGTTTTGTTGATGATCAAAGAAGCCAATTAAGCAAGAGAAAAACTTCCCAGCTTGGGCAGATATGGAGCTATAAGAATGGACCATTTAAAAATTATATTTATTGAGCTCTGTCCATTGAGTACCCTGATGAAATTTACCAAAAGGTTTTCCAAAAGGCTCGAGGTCATTCCCATTTATGTTACACTGGGCATTTGTTTCAAACGTGTGCATTTTTCAAAATAAAAGGCTCAGAATCTATGAAAAGAAGAAAGAAACCCCAGATAACGGGCTAAAAAGATATGAAACTCAAATCAACATTGGTTAAGTGATTTCTGTGGGCCTTTCAGCAGTACCTCTTCCGACCTGCTGGGGGTCAGCACATCATTCCATGTTATTTGCCTAGTGGTATGCTTGCAATTTTTTTCAGTAAATAGGCAGTCAAAGGAGCAGGAATTTAATCACCCTTCCACACAGAGGTCTACCATGCTTCAAGCAGTTTGCATTCACATGCCCGTAAGCAGCTATCTGCTGGTTGGTGAACCTATTCAGTACAAGAGAAAACAGATGTCTGGTCTTCCTGCCAAGTCCCTTTCTTGCATTTTAGGAACCATTCCACACGCACAGGGAGGTTTTTGTTAATTTCTTTCAGATGATGACTGAGTGCTTTACACCACGTGGGACCTCTGAGCCCTACTTTTCTACTCAAGTGAACATTAGTAGCCATTTATCCCTCTCATGGCCAATGTGGGATCTAGTTTTCTACTTGTTAGAGAAGCCATTGAACCCTTTCCACGCCTTGGGATATAAAGAGGCCTATTGGCCGCATTTTTATGTCTGACCACCCATAATTTACAGAGTAATTGTTTTTTCAGACATAGCATTGCATGTCATAAAACAGAGTTATGGTTGTCCCTGATTTAAAGGCGCAATATTGCCCTTATTCAAGAACCACTCCCCTTACTGCAAGTACTGTATGTTCTGTTTACTATGAATGTATCATGATTAGAACACAGGGACCCTTTTTTGGTGATTAGATATTTTTGTGGCCATTGCTGCCAGGTTGGAGTTGCTTCTCATTTTTGGTTTTTTATTTTTTTACACTGTATGCAGAAGAAGTTGACCGTTTGAAAAGAAAGATAAATAACATTAGCCCTGGAGGTCATTCCAGTGAAAAGAGCTAATTGACTGACCTTTTGCTATTGAAAACAAATGCATTAAAATCATAGGAAATACCTATCTATATTTAGTCTGCCTTATCTACCTATCATAGAGTGGGTTGGGAGCTCAATTTCTGGATTCTGATTTATCACTTTTAATTATTTTTTTCTTCATTGGTAAACTTTCAAATTGAATCAGCATTTTAAAGAATAACATTTTAATAATTAATAATTATATGTAATAATATTTAATAATAATCAGTATTTTAATAATAGCAAGTAAAACACAGATTTAGAAAGCACTTGGTTACCTTACATTGTTAGTTCTTTTGAAAATACTTCACAGATGACAAATTCTATGAACATTCTTAAATACTCTTAAATGTTCATCATTTAGATTTTAATAATTGTAACCCAAAAGGAAAGCTCATAATATATATGATACATTTTTCTTGCATAACATTTCTGATGCCATATCTTTGTCCCAGGAGAGTTTTACTGCTCCTTAATTAGGGAGTTCCCAGCTTCTGAATCTGACTAAGCATGATTCAGAAACCTTTCTAATAAGATAGGTTTGATCACATCACTCCCTTGCGTCTGTGCCTCAGGAAGCTCCCCACTTTTTAGGGCGTGGCTTTCTAGCTGTGGTTCCCCCTTCCTACTCCTCCCACCTCACCCATCAGAGCACCTGAAATTACAGAATAAATATGGCTTATGTCCCTGGAGTGTCATTATGACTCTAAAGTATTAGGTCAGAAATATTGTTTCTGTATTGAAACAAAGTCAGACAGTTAGGGAGTAGATTGCAGCATTCACATGCTTTTTTTTTTTTCCCAGATAAAGCACAAGTCTTAAAGGAAATTGTGCAGCCTTAACAAGGCTCCTTTCTCCATTGCCCACACACTTGCAGGAGACATAGTCATTCTCTTTGCTGCTGCACTCCTTAAGTGGAAAAGTTTAAGCAGTGATGACTGGCAAAAAAGTCAAACTCCTTGGATAGCTTTTCACAGTCCGGTTTTCAGCCTCGTGCCTTATGCATGTTTCTCAGGTCTCAACTCAATGTCACACCCTCTGAAAAGTGTTCCGTGTCCTCCCATTGTGGTTTGTACACATCTCCATTACAGCATTCAGTTCGTGTGTTTCTGTCTACCCAACTCCAACTGTAAACTGTTGGAAGATGGGGCTGGGGTCGTAATTATTGTGTAAGAAGGTCTGGGATGTACAGGATACACTGTAACTGTTATTGGACAGTGTTAGGCTACAGGGCCCCTCAGTACACACCTTCAGAAAGAAAGGATCCCATCTGTGTTTGCCAACTAAGGACCAGACTTCCACAGGACCACATACAGTCTCGTACACTCCAGGAAAGCTTCCGGGACTTAGGAGATTAGAGCTGACATGCGGTAGCTAATTGAGAAGCTGTGCAATTAAGTGGGCGCAATTGAGGAGGTAGTGAGTGAAGTGGAAATAAGGAATGGAGATTTTACCTCTTAGCCTACCTCAGAAGAATTGAAAAATTTGATACCTAAGAACATCTTGTTTTCCCCCTTATTTTGAAGCCTTTTATCTATTGTTATGCATTTATTAAGTCACTTGGCAATTTTTATATTTTAAAAATACACTTTATGTAATTGTCAATGGGAGCTTATACTCTGCGTAAGGTAACCAGTGGTACCACACTGACTTTAATTTCAGCCAGAAGCAAGGGTAGTAGCTGTTTTTATTTAGTCTGTCAGGGGTTAAGGAGATTGAGTTTTTGGCTTACTATTGAACATTTGAAAATTCTTAATTTTTTTTTATTGGATCCAACTGCACCTGACACACCTGAGAAGCTGGGAGCTTCTGCTCCGTTCCTTTGGGACTGGGGGTTCCAGGCTGCTTCTGTCAGAATCAGGAAGTCAGAGAGAGTACTTCTTGCCTGCAGCTTCACAGTCTGTGATAACTTTAATTCTTGGAACTGCCAGGCTGTTTTACTCTTCTCTGGGATACCAGATTACTGTTTCAAGTCTTACAACTTAGGTAGAGCGTGAAAGATCAGTATTCACTTTTACTTGCAGATTACCTAAAAGGAGTTTTATTTTGTGTTTAATTAATGCCAGAATAACATTTGAAAGTAGAGACTTTGTACAAATCCAAACATTTGTATACTTCACATTTATTTTTAAAGTACTGTACATTTTGAAGATCTGAAATTCAGAGTACACTTTTCTGATGCCTCAGACTAAAACATCAATTAATGACTTTGCTAATAGTGCTTGTTGGGCTTCTCAGGTGGCTCAGTGGGTAAAGAACCTGCCTGCAATGCAGGAGCATGCCAGAGATACGGGTTCAATTCCTGGGTTGGGAAGATCCCCTGGAGGAGGGCACAGCAGCCCACTTTAATGTGCTTGCCTGAAGAATCCCATGGACAGAGGAACCTGGCGGGCTATAGTCCATAGGTCACAGGGTCAGACACATCTGAAGTGGCTGAGCACTGCACAATAGTGCTTGTTAAAATCATAAACTTGCATAGTTCAATATGTAAAGATAACAGCTGGTTAGTAATATCAAAGGAAAGCCTATTTTTAAGTTAAGACCATTCCAATCTCATAATTGCCATGGTGAATTTTTATTTGCTCAGAAAATATTCCAGTTGTTATGTAAGCTTATTTCCTCATGATTTAACACCAAACTCTTAGTAAATCAAGATACTTGCCATGAGAACCCCATGAACTGTATAAAAAGGCAGAATTATATGTAGCAGTTACTGATTCTCAGAAAATTCAGTTCTTGTGTTTGATTTCAGCTGATTTTACTTCCGCAACGGAAGGGTGAGTGGGAAATGGTCTAATTGTTGCTTCTTGGACTTTCATATGCATTTGTACTTCCTGGAGATCTTGTTGAAATGCAGTCTCTGATAACATCAGTCTGGGATCAGACCTGGGATCCTACATTTCTAGTAAGCTTTCAGGTAATTCCATCACAGCTGGTTCCTGGATCACTCTTTGAGTAGCAAAGATTTCCCAGAATGCCCTGCCCCCTTCTACACTTGAGTTTAGCTTTATCCAGATTCTAAAATTTGCTCTGCCTCTAGTCTGTCATTTTATGTGACTTTGTAGGTTTTTTGTTTTTGTTAGCTTAAGAGCCCTCTATTTTCCATTGGTGATCACAGATCAAGGTAGTAAGGACTCCACCATAGAGTAAAAGAAGGGAATTTGGGCAAACCACCACTGAATTTTGGATGACTTGGTCCAGAATCCATCATGTGTCTCTGGATCGAATTATTAGCAGTAACCACCATCTGTGCAATAGTGTGCTCGAAATGGGCTCCTAAAAATAGTAGTGGAGGCAAGGTTAGTTATTTTTCAGAACACTGCAAACAGCTGAGACTTGTACTTCCATGATGGCATCCTCTCCAACTTAGCAGTGCCTGCCAGCACTTCCACTTCCAAACCTGCCAAGAATGGTTTGGTGGGATTGCGACTGACCTGCACAGATTGTCCAAGCTTCAGACACTGTTGTTGAGTGTCCAGGGTGACTTGGGTGTTCCATAGCTCCCATGGTCTCACTTGCTAGTACTTTAAAGGGACCTGAACTCAGAGAGTGGCTAAGTAAAAGTGTGTTCATGTAAATATCTCACCTTCGATTAGAAATTAACAGATAATTCCCTGTTCCGTTTTAGCAACAGGAACAAGATCCTACCAACTTGTATATTTCTAATTTGCCACTGTCCATGGATGAGCAAGAACTTGAAAATATGCTGAAACCATTTGGACAAGTGATTTCTACAAGGATACTACGCGATTCCAGTGGGACAAGTCGTGGTGTTGGCTTTGCTAGGTAAGCACACTGCCCTACCTTCATGTCAACAATAGTTCTGCTACATTTCCTGGAGAATAAAAATTGAGCAAGAAGAGAGGATTTGAGCCAGGGTTATAGGAGCCAGTTGAACCATGAACTTAAATTATGCACAAAAAATAATTTGCATCTCCCCCAGATCTTTGGAAGCTCACTGGCATTCTTAAACCTGAGGACCCTAAATATTTGGAGACTCAGGGTAAGGAAATACCACATGAGCAATAGTTTTGCAAGTGTGTTTCCTTAATATTTTGACTAATTAGATCAGGTTGCCTAAACTGCTTAAAAAAATAATCTCAGGTTCCTAAATTTCATAAAGAAATTGGTATTTTTGTCTCATTAGGTAGAACTTTAGTTCATCATCAATAAAATCAGTAAATTAGATTTTTTAATGAAATATTTCACACATTGAGAAGAGTACAGCAGACACCTAACCACCAGTTGTTACAAATATTATAACACTTTACAGCTTTTGCTTCAGATTGTTTTTTAAGAAGTAAAATGTTGCACATGTTTAAAGCATCCTCATTCCTTCATCTTACTTTTATCCCTTCCTCCTCAGAAAGGGTACTTCAGTGTAGTGGTTAGTTTGCTTCCTTTGATTTTGACATAATTCAAATCTGAAAGCCCACATACAAAAACTGATTTTACAGAGTTTAGCAACCTATTAATTCTGTGCAGTAACCAATAATGTCTACATGTTTTAAAGTATTGACTTTGATTTGCGGGTGGAGGGGGGGGGGAATTGCTGACTTTTTACTTTCCTATGCGTTATCCTGTTTGATGACAGTCGCATCTACCACAGGCCTGTGATATCAACAAAGCAAGCATTGTTCACGTTTCACATATGAAAAGAATTGAGTTAAAGAAAGGACATTGTCATGGGGTTGTGAAGCAATGAAGCAAGGTCTAGTACTTGGTTCTTCTGGCTTTCAACCCATTGCTCTTTCTGTTAGACCAGATGATTTTATAATAAAACTAAAATATTCTACAAGTGGAAAGTCACCAAGGCCAGAACCCATTGTGCACTTCATGGGTTAAAAGGATCAGGTGAAACAGTGAAAGGCCCAGCGCCATCTGAAAAATCGTCCTTCTGTGGGTGTTCTTCTGAAAGCAGATGAAGGACTTTCGTTTCTATATCCGAAGATGAAACCCAGTTAAATTCTAATGCTTTTTAATTACCACTATTACCACCCATTAGGGGCTCCCCTCGTGGCTCAGAGGATAAAGCGTCTGCCTGCGATGCGGGAGACCTGGGTTCAATCCCTAGGTCGGGAAGATCCTCTGGAGAAGGAAATGGCAACCCACTCCAGTACCCTTGCCCGGAAAATCCCATGGACCCGGGAGCCCAGTAGGCTACAGTCCATGGGGTCGCAAAGAGTCAGACACGACTGAGTGACTTCAGTCACTATTACCTACCACCCATTAAAATCAAAGTGCAACTATTCTGGGTGTTCCAGGAGTACAGTGCATTTTCAGCAGGTTATTCAGTGTTTCCTCCATTAAAGAAAAATAAATCAAAATTATTTAATTCCCCTGAAATGTTTCTGCAGATGTAGAATAAGTTGTTAGTCTACATCCTTTAATTCTTCCTCTAAAGCCAAGAAGGAACATAATTGACTTCACTAATTTTAAACTTGAAGCTAAGGTGAAAAACTTGTAAGACACATCCTCTGTTCAGCCCCAATTCATTTCATGACTTTTGAGTCTGCCGTTTTGTGAATAAGTAATAGGAAGGACCATCTCCAAAACGAGCAGTGTCCTAGCGGCACTAAATACACTAGTAGTTTAAGCTGGTGTTTTTGTTTTTAATTCAGTATCATAACTAATAAAGCTATTGTGTATTGATTATAATTTGAATAAGTAGAAAAAAGTATACATTTTTTATGCTTGATTAAAGGTATAATTTATTTCTTTTATGATTCTGAAGGTACTCTGTTTATCAGGCTTTCATTTTACCATGGAAGCACACAAACAACACTTAAATAAAAGAGAATAAACCCACTTCTTCTTATCACTCATTTTTTTTGTGAGGTTTCATTTGTAGCAAATAAACCTATAAGATTGTATTCATGTGCACAGAACAAAATGAAAATTAAGATATCTTTGATTATTTATGTCTTATTTTTATGTATAAATAGGATGGAATCAACAGAAAAGTGTGAAGCTGTTATTGGTCATTTTAATGGAAAATTCATTAAGACACCACCCGGAGTTTCTGGTATGTTATTTGTCTAAAATTATATTAGTAGTTTTTTCTGTTATTTATAATTTTAGGATGTGGTGACTCTTATATCAAAAACAAAAAACTCCTCATTTAGCTCTTTAAAATTTATTTCTTTGGATCTACAAAAAGACGTCAAAATTCACTTCTCCCAGCTGTTTAACTGTAGAAACAAGCTCATGGTTACCAGGGAGGAAAGTGAGGGGTAGGAGGAGGGATAAATTGGGAGGTTGAGTCTGACAAATGCACACTACATACTATACCGTATATAAAATACATGACTGATAGGAACCTGGACTTCCCCAGTGGCTCAGCAGTAAAGAATCTGCCTGCAATGCAGGAGACCTGCAGGAGACACGGTTTTGATCCCTGAGTCAGGAAGATCCCCTGGAGAAGGAAATAGCAACCCACCCCAGTATTCTTGCCTGGGAAATCCCGTGGACAGGGGAGCCTGGTGGGCTACAGTTCATGGGTTGGCAGAAGAATAGGACTCACCTGAAAAACAACCACAAATAAGAACCTACAGTATAGCACAGGGAACTCTCCTCAGTTCTCTGTAACGATCTGATGGGAAAAGAATCTGAAAGAGTGGATATGGGTTTATGTATAACTGATACACTTTGCTATGCAGCAGAAACTAACACAACATAGCAAATCACTATACCCTAATGAATGTTTTTAAATTCAAAAAATAAAATGAATATGTAAATATAAAATAAAAATATATATATGAATGGAAGCAAGCATTCTGGTAAGGAGCTGTGTGACTTGCAGAGGATTGGAAACCTCTCCTCCCTGGATGCTGAAGGCATCCTCTAATGCACCTTATCATTCAGTAAATATTCTGTCATTCAGTCACATCCACTGAGGACAATGGTACTTTCTACCCCAGCGCCTTTGTTCTAGATTATTTCAACATGTGTTAGCCCTCCCTGCCTATGTTGCCTGGACGCAGCTGCTGTGGCCCCTCCATCCACTCCTCTATTGCATCCTCCTGCCGTTGCTCTGACCTGTGTTGTCCTGACTGAGAACAGTGCACCTCAGGAGATTTCATTCCAACATCACACCTCTGACTCCCACTAAACCTGTTCTGAAATACAGTGAGCTCCAGCCTGTCCAGACCCTCAGCGTCACTGGTCCTCATTCAGCCTCTCACCCTTACCTAAACTGTCGTTCTTCACAGTTTTCACCAGTTTGCACACCCTCTCCCTAAACTGCTCCCACACCGCAGTCCTAAGGAGATGGTTTCACTTGCATTCCCTTTAACTTGGCTGTTCCCTTCTCACCCCTCAAGATTCTGGCCTGCCTCCCCACTTCAACAGCCTCCTCTGCTCCCATTGGGTTACCGTCTGCATAGCTCCCTGTGGACACCCACCTGTGGGGCAGCATTTAACGGGTTTACACATGTCACTGCACTAAACTGAGCTCCTTGAAGACAGAGCCTGTTTTCTCATCTTTCGCTTTTCATGCCTAGCTCAGTACTTGAACCTTACTAAGCACCAATAACTGTTTGTTATTTTGCATAAATTTAGCTACACTATTTACCAAGACAACACTGTTTACAAGCTGGCGTGCAAGTGGCTGACCACAAGCTAGAAGATGTTTCCATGTGTGCATGTGTAACTAGTGTTTAGTATTTATCCTCCTGTAGCTCTAAGGCTCCATCTTTAACTGGATGGCTGATGATTATGGTTAGGGATCCACTTTAGTTTTGGTATCCAGGTGAGTCCCACTTCATAGAGAATTTACTCATAAGTATGTGCGATACCATGAACTAATTGCATCCTTTAACCGAAACCTGATAGGATACAGTTTGCATGGCTGTATGTGAGCTTGAACTGCCTACTGACATGAGTTTGAAGCATAAAATACAAGATCTGGTAGTACATTCTTTCAAGGAACTCAGCCTTGTGAAAAAGCTTCCTTTTTTGTTTTTCTTAGGCAGTTTTCTTTTGAGTTGAAATTAAAGAAAACAAGAAGGGATTGTTTTTACCCTCCAACTAAGTAAAGACAAAGGAAAGATTTCCTATGTGGGAGCCTTCTGTCAACCATGCCCTGCAGGCCTTGCAAGACCCCTGCACACAGCTGCCCCTACGCTCTTCTCACTCCCCCATGTCCTACTCCCTCCCCTTGCCATCCTCTGCATAGTCAGGACCCCAGAGGATTACATGAGTCCCTTCGAAGGGCTGCTCATCCATACACCTATGACCTCCTTACTTTGTCAGCTTGTTCTTGAATGCAACAGGGGAATTTCAAGAAGGAAAAACACCACAGCACCCTTTTATTTTGATGTTGTATCAGCCTAAGATAAGATCTACCAGTTCCCTGAGTAAAATAGATCTTAGCATGTCATGAATTGAGGTTGGCCAGTTTCCTTTTTTCTCCAAAGGACTTCATGGTTGTGTCATTTAACTGTTTTCTTTGAAGTAGATTCGAAGATTGTTGGTCACACCCATTCTAGGGGGAAAAAAAAAGACCTGATTTCCAAACCACACATAAATGATTGTAGGATTCTCTGCACCTTTGTAGCTAATAATGAATAGTTTCTTCCAAGTAGTGCTGAGGGTCAGAGAGGGTGTAAGAACCAGATCAGTTCCTTCTCCGAGAGGAGCATCCCCTAGGGAGGACAGCTGTGTGGTCAAGCCGTTCTCTTTATTCAAACCAGGACTTAACTTTATGCCATTTTCTGATGTGTGATGATCACTCCTGTGTTTCAGTATTGGTTCCCGACTAGACTACAAGTTCTTTAGTGGCGAGGGCTGTGTTTTATATTTTAATTTTGCAGTAGGCACCAAAAGCCTATGCATCGCCCTGTATCAGCAGAGGTTTGCCAAAGGGTTTTCAAGAGCATTTTTCATATGGAGTGCTTATCACAAGATTCGTGGCTGGCTATTTTGATGGCCTTTTGGGATAGATTTTGCCTATAACAGGTTGGGCTGCTTTTTTGGTAGGAGTTTGAAATGTACAATGCAGGTTGGGAAGCCCAGTGTTCACTGAACAACCTTTCCCCAGAACAAGTCTCCAGTGGACTGGAGAACCCACACCAGAATTGAAACCACTTTCAACATCTCTAGATTGTTTTCTGTCCATGTAAATACAAGAATTATCTTTGACTAATAGTCTGTTTATTAATGTCTCTCTCTCCCTTCCAATTACCTGACTGACTGCTCTGTCACATGGGTTTCTTCATGGAGTGCATATGATTACTTTCAGTAGAACCAGATGAAAAAGAAAAAATATTGTCAGACAAGGGTAAATTGAATGGGCCTCCACTTTCATGTTTAAATAATGTAGGCTTATTGCTAGGCAGACATAACATTTCATAAATACAGTCAGAGGATGGTTTATTTAATGATGCAAGTTGTTTAGCTGGCATAAGCAGAATTATCCAGGATGGTTTCTGTCAGTGTACTCCGATTCTTGCACGACTGGTGATTTGCATGTGACATTGGAACCAAGTGTAGAAAAGAAACACACATTAGCCACAGTCCCTCAAAGACACTTTTTGAAAATTAGGAAACTGAGCAGTTAACTCACTGCCTGCACTGGAAAGAAAATCTCTAGATGGCAAAGCAGGAGGAGCTCAGCTATGTCATTTCTCCAATACCACCCATCCGTCTGCCAGCACTCTCTTCATGCCAGGATGTTGTAGCTCAGTCCCCTATGTGGGGCCTGGTAATGCATGTTTAGAGTTCCATAAAAATCCACTCAACCACATCATGACATTTTACGCAGTCTTCTTTCTGAAGCTGCTTTTTAAAAAATCTTGTGCTTTTGTGTCTGTTATTACCATATTTTCACAAAGGCTTTATCTTATGGCAGATTCTTCAAGCATACATTACAGTTGGAAGGAAAAGAAATTTCTCAGAATGCCTTTCCTTCTATCCTTCTCCCCACTCAGGCTCTCACTTTTCTCTGAAAATGCTGAAGCATTTTCTTTTGTTTGGATTTACCTTGGTTTTGAGTGTTAGCTGGTTTGCCCTAGCAAAGTCACATTTACTTGAAAGGACCATGAGGGTAAAAGAACTTCTTTGTGAGACAGTGACTTCTTTGTGAGACAATCTAGGTGAATTCCGCAGAAATTTAAAAGCAGTATGTCCAATTGGGTTGATAAAAATTCCATTGTGGAAAAATAGTATAGCAGTGGTGCTTTCCCACACAGTGAATGTTAGAAACAAGAGATGGGTAGAACTGAGGTCCAAATTAGGAGATGGACCCAAGGCAAAGACACTGTCACTTATGGTCATGATTCAGAGATTTGTCTGAAAAATGTTCTTCCAGTATCTTCCTAGAAGAGAGCACAAATGCATATGGCATGTTAGCTGGAACTCTTCTAGGGCTGCTTGCCCTGCACCCACAGTCTTTGCCTCTGTGGAAGACACACACAGCATCATGGACAAAGGCCACACGCATATCCAGTGCCGCAAAAGGCAGTATGATCACGTCTCTCCTTCCGGACCTCTCTGTGACATTAATGGAGTGTGAAGACGTCCTTGTATGCTCGGGGCAGAGAGGTTTTTTTAAAAAAAAGAAAAAAAAGTGCCTAGTCATTGGATATGCAATTGCTGGTTAGATTCCCAGCCTCACGCTGGCTTCATTCTGCTGCATTGCCTGAAGCTTCTCCTGTGCAGGCAAAGGAGCTCCAGTGAAGTGCATATGTGACGGCTGGCCGACTCCATCCAAAGACCCCAACTTGTTTTACATCTGCTTTCTGTGTTACCTTGACTTTTCAGTTTGGGTATATGCCCAGTAGGGCTTGGAAACTGCTCTTACCCATGTTCTGAAATGTTCCATATGTAGGTAAAATTATTTGGGCCTTGTTCAGTGCCAGAAGGCAGAAAAGGTAATGTTTAGAGGAAAAATTACAAATCTGGTAAGAAGGCTGGACATCTTTCAAGGGCTTTTATTGCCCATTTCGTTTCCTACATGTTTGGCTTAAGCTTCATTACTCTGCTAAAAACAGAAAATTTGGGTGACTCTAGGACAAAAGAAGATAC